TGCTGATGCCACTCGAACACATCTACAATTGCTAGTTCCAGCTAGATACAAGATTGGAGAAGAGACCGATGACATCAAATTACACTCAATAAATAACTATTCATCATTTCTTTACGTACAAGAGCTTCGACGGATACTTGGTGCCTTGTTCTGTCGGTTGGAAAACACATTCCTTGGCCCTATCATCAAAGCGGGTTCACAGAGAGCAGGTGGTGCACAAAAAGGAGATGAACTGGGTTTTTCTGCACAACTGATTCATTTTATGCTATCAAGACAAATTAATACAACACGGAAAGATATGCTCGCAAGGAATGCTTGTCTCAGGAAAACAATTTTTTCTAATATAAGCACTTATGTTTCCTTTTGGCTCGCGGATACTTCGATGTCCTTCTCACCAAATAACAAAGTGCGTTTTGTAACCAAAAAAAAAAAATACAACACGGGAAGAAGATGAAGTTTGGTTTCACTTCGATGGGCGACCGATGAGATTATGATTACAAGAATTTCACTTGGTAACTGGACTACCATGCTGGGAAATAGAAGATGAAGAAGGCCCTGTCGCCATAGAGGACCACTTCAACTGGCCCAAATGTAATGATGATAAGCACACTTGTGATGATTTTCTTCAGCAGATAGAGGCATTAGGTGAGGATGAAGAGGAAGGCAAACTAAGGTTAGCAATGTTGCTATTGGTTGAGTGTATCTTCTTGATGCGATACGCGGAAAAGAAATGCAAGTTTGAGAAAGAATATGTCAATATAGCTAAAACAAATATGACAACTCGTCCTTTGGGAAAACTTTCATCCAAACTCCTCATCGAATCTATAAAGAAGGTTTCTCATTGTGAGTTTTTTGGGAAACAAAGATACTCTCTGAAAGGGTTTCTTTTGGCCTTGCATTTGTGGTTTTTGGCTTTTGTGCCAAATTTTGAAGAAGTATTTGCTCGGTTGGACAAGCCTTCTGATTTATTTATAAGAGGTATTTAAGCACTTATCTACCTACTTGTCGTGATATTGTTGCAATTGTTGAAAGATCAAAAGATGCTAAAGTAATATGCGTGCTTGGTGATGCGAACTTGCTTGATAAAGAAGATGATGATCTTGCTATGTTTGTGACTTTGGTGAATGGAGGGTACAAAGTAACTAAGAGTGATTGTCATAGGAACTTCATTGACTTGGAAGAAGCAGAAGAATTCATTCCTCTAAGATTTTGTGCCCATAAAGAAGATGGGTGACGTGTGTCTAG